TTTAATCTACGCTTTTCAGCAGTTGACGTCGCAAAGCTCTGAGGCAATTTTAACAAATCAGGTCACACTACAGAAAAACTATAGGTAAGTTAAATAAAAACTATTTTTCACCTTTAACCAGCCTGACAGATAGTATATGTGAAGGATGGCACCCCACGTGGAGCATCAGGGGTGGGGAATATTTTTCCAGGACTTTGGTTTTCATTGCCACCATAGTATATATTTTTTGCTTATGAGAAAGGCCCTTACCCTGGGGAAATTCTGAGGCAGAAGGAGGAAAGTTTCTCAGATATTTATAGCCAAAATATTTCAAAACATAGGTAGCTATATTTATGCTGGGTTCATATTTTAATAAACACTAAGCATTGCTGCCCACAAAGAAATTTTCGGCATCACTTTAGAAATGTTCTCTTTCACCACAAATGCAAGATCTTTCTGTTTTAAAAAAAGCAGGTAAAAATATTGAAAACATTGCAAAATACATGACAGCCTCCAGCCTTACTTAGAATTTGCCTCTTCAAATCTTTTCCACACAGATTAAAAATTTTAAATCTACTGTTAGCAAGAAAGATAATGAACAACCCAAGGCCAGCTGTGGGGGAAACAGAAGCTAGATGAGCAACAAAAATTGGCTGGGCCACGAGCTCCTGACCCAGGAGAGCATCATAAATACATGACGTCCGCCTGAAACACCATCGAAGCCAGCAAACAAGCAGTCAGTTCCCCTGTCCCCTGGTCAGGTTAACCTTTTATTAGCCAGTTAAATATTTTTAAAGATTTTTAAGACTATTTCCTAACAGTACCTTTGACCATTATCCTCATTAAATAAATAAGAAGAGCAACTGATGTCCAAGCAGCGACTGAGAGAGAGAGGACTGGAACCTAATCCTCCAGGGACAGAGCTCTGATGGAAACTTCACATTGAGAGGGTTGAACTCGGAGGATAACCTCTGGCCATAAACTCATTTCCACGACTTCCTAGCCTTGTCCTGCCAGGGGCCTGCTTCTTAGATCTTAACAAGCAGCTTGGGCTTCCACCAAGACATGTCACAGGTATTTCTGTGCACAGGAGGTTCTCTGGGCAAAAGGAACTCAACACTCAACTTTAAACAGGCCTCTCTGAGGAAAACAGAATCACCGAAGACCTTGTCTTCGGACCAGAAGCTTCAGACAAGACCAGAGCTCTTCACACATTGATGGCAATTTCTGATGTGGAGGCCAGGAAAGCTGTCTCTAAACTCACATCCTCAGGCACGCGCCTGTAACGGGATAGACACTGAGATGTTTACAAAATGAATGTGGGGATTTTTCTTGCAGCCAAACAGGGAAGGCCACTACCAGCTGTGAACACTTCCTGGTCTAACAGCCCAAGATGAGGCTGCCCACGTCCTGAGTCAGCTGGGCTCTGGCGGGGGCAGGGCTGGGGGCTGAGCCCACGCTTTGTCTTGGAAGGTGGATCCCACGTGAAGAGATGTGGGCTGGTAAAAAGAGCACTGGCCTGGAAGGCAGGGGACTTCGGTTCCAATTTTAATTCTGTCCCCGCCCAGTCATTTTGCCTTGGCAAAACACCTTGAGCAGCTGAGTCTCAATTTCTTTCTTTGTAAAAGGAAACTAATGGTATGGGGGGAAGGAGACAACGCACTGCCTGACTACTGTGGACACACACTGTGTGAAATCTATGACTGACAGCCCTACCACCAGGCTCGCACGAACCTGATGTTACAGAGGAGGAAATGGAGGTTGTGAGGGAGAGTCACGTGACCAGGGCATCATCTTCTGGAAGAGATAACAGAGGCGGAATTCCTGGCACAGGGCTGCCCTGGGGCCTGGTTTCCTCACCCCACCTTGTTCCTATGGAGTTCCAGGACGTCCAGGAATTCTAAATCTGGAGCTAGCTCTCCAGGGCATTGTGAGGGCAAGTTTTTCAAGAACAACAGGAAAAAAAATATATATATATATGTGTGTGTGTGTGTATATGTGTGTGTGTGTGTGTGTGTGTGTGTGTGTGTGTGTATATATATATATATAGTAGTGGTTTGTTACAATGCTGAATAATTTTAAAGTATTTATACATAAGAATTTGGGGACCTAAGTCCCTCACATGTTAGACAATTCTGAATGTTAAAATGCTTTTTTGCTGGAGAGGAATTACAAGTATTAAGTGTAGGCACAGAACAGCCAACCAAACCTGGTACTTCGGTAGGTTTTTAACGTCCACGAAGTTCTGTCCCATAGGTGATTTCACCGGATTTTCCTAACCACACACTGAAGACGGAAGGCGTCATCACCCCTGGTTTGCACATAAGGACATCGTCGTCAATACTTCTGGGGCGTCACTCCCCTCGTCCCACTTCCGGTTTCAGCAGCAGCTGGGCGCAGACCGTGTTGTGAGAGCCCAGACTCACCCTGCACGGCCAGCACCGACCCAAGCCCCTGCTGTGCTCCCCCGGCAGCCGCTTCTCCCCGCTCCCTGCTCCTCGGTTCCCCTGCCAGAGGGCCCGGGGGGCGAGGGTCATCAGCCGGGGAGGGCGGGAGTCAGGGTGGGGGAGGCAGGAGTCAGGGAGGCAATGGCCCCTGCCCTTTGACGGGGACCTTTTGGAGGGAGAACTCTGCACACTTGAGGGAGGTCCCAGGGGCATCCAGTTCCCACCCAAGAAGACCCTGAGGCTGCAGAAGTGACTTCAGTAAGACATCCTCTGCGTCCCTCGTCCTTCTCTTCCTCTCCTCCTGTCTCATTCCAACTTCTAAACAAAACAAGCCACCAGCACCCGAGTCCTTGCCTCGGGCTCTGCTTCGGGAGACCCCAGCCAGCCGATCAGAGGCACCGAGGCCACCAGAGGAGCAAAGCCAGGCACAGGGCCACCTGCCCCGGTTCTTCTGGTGCTTAATCCAATGACCCTTTTGTATTCTTTCACTGTACACGCAAAGCCACAAGCTGCAATTTCTACCTTTTACCAAGATGCTAGGCTTAAAACAAGCTTAAAAAGTACACACTTTTGGGCAAAATTAGTAATAAATGATAACCATCATTTTTGCTAGGGGTTACACAGATCATCAGCTAAACTATCTTTGAAAAACTGCATTTTTCCCAAAATGTTGAAGTAATGCATTTGGCTTTGCTGGTGAATTAGAAATGTTAAGTTTCACTCCAATTTTTATAGATGAAAAGGCTGCAGTCTTAGGACTTTCCAGCATTACACTTGTAACTATTATTGGAACCAGAATTAGAATCTTTTCTGCTCCAGGCTTTGCCCACCAAGTCTATCCAACAGCAGGACTGTAGATTATTCTTGCCCTGGCTGGTGTGGCTCAGTGGACTGAGTGCCAGCCTGCAAACCAAAGGGCCACCTGTTCGATTCCCAGTCAGGGCACATGCCTGGGTTGCGGGCCAGGTCCCCGGTTGGGGTACATGTGAGAAGTAACCAGCTGATGTATCTCTTACACATCAATGTTTCTCTTCCTTTCTTTCTCCCGCCCTTCTTACCTCTCTAAAAATAAATAAAACTTTTTAAAATTATTTAAAAAATAATAAAAACTTTTAAAAAGTTCTCCTCTTTTCCACTTACTGCACCACAGTTTTCACCCTCTGGAACTCTCAGTCCCTGTACTGTAGGTCGGAATGGCCCGCCCGTCCTCGCGGCCGGCGCTCAGAGTATGACAAGTGCTGACAAGTGGGTGTAGTCTCCTGCCTGGCCACGGCAACTGGCTCAGAGAACAGACAGGAACCCACGCCTGGCCCATTAGAGTGATTATTGAGCCTTCGATGGGTCTTTTCCTGGGGGAAGCTAAGCTAGTCGACTGCAAGTCTTTGGTGCCCGGCGGCCTTCTTGCCACCTTACAGGAAGAGCTTGCCTGAAGAGGAAGCCACCAAAGGGGAAAGCGTAGCATGGAAATGGATGGAGACGGCCTGCTGAGGTGGCACGGGCCTGGTCTTCCCTGCATGTAGATTTGTCATGGGACTCGACCGTCACAGGGGCCAATACACGACCGCTTCATCGTCCCTCAAGCTTCTGCCCTTGGCGTCCCACGAGGAGCCCGCCTGAGGCAAGCTCCATTCCCCGCGCTCAGGCGTCAGGGGCTCAGCGCAGTGTCTGGAGGAGAAACAAACAACTGTTTCCCACAACCAAGGAATAAGCTGGAAGCCAAGAATCAGAGCAGAGCTCATCAAATCTTGGCAGAATGCGCGGTCCTGGCTTCCGAGAGCCTCAGGCAGGAGGCACTGGACCAGCCTCTCTGTGACTCTGCAGAGCGGGCAGCCGCAGACCAACCCCACACCTCTGCTGTGGGGACGGCGACTCCGCAAACGCCCATCAGCCAGGTGCTTCGGTTCAACGGCTGCCGCCACTAGAGTTCAGAAGTAGGGCCTCAGGTCAGGAATTCCTTCTGCTCATTTTTTCCCTTTTGCTTAAAATTTCCCATAGCAGCATTGAGAAGCCACATTTCACATTTGTAAACTCTCAGAAAGACTTCTCATCACTCTTCTACCCTCTGATAAGCCGAATAACAAGGATGGGAGAGGTGATGAGAACAAAAAAAGCTGAAACCAAACAGAGAAACTTGCCCAAGGCAGTACAGATACAATGAATTGTACTTGTTTCTTAAATGACATTTTCCCTTCCTTCCAGAAAAGTCACTATCAAATATTTATTTCAAAGACAATGTTTCAAAGGCAGGGAGGCAAGCAGCAAGCCTGAAATGCAGGCAGGCTTGTTGGCAAGGGCGCCTCCGGAGTAGTTAGAGCCTAGGACAGCTATGACGGAGGAAGGGAAATGGAAGAGAGGCGAGGGGAGAGAGGAGAGAGGACAGGTTTACCAGATGACCCACCGCTGAAGAGGGGGACAGGTACTGGCCCAGGGACAGAGTGTAAATGTAGGTCTCCACACCACCGTCATCCATTAAACACACATGCTGTCAGACGATGTTCCCTCTGTAGTTTTCAATCATGCTTGGAATCCCCGAGGTCACTGCATTTGGCTTTTGGGTGTGACGCACAAACCTACCTGATGAATTCCACAGAATAGTACTGAATAGGGGAGCTTCCTTCACTCTCTCCCGGTTTCCAGGACAGAGCCACCTCGGACTCAGAAACCACGGTGACGTGCGGCCGTTGGGGTGCTGTGGGAGGCAGGCAGGAATCTAGGCAAAACAACAAACAACTAGTTGGCTGGCGACCTTTTCTGCTGGAGAGGTTCAGTATATAGTAAACTGTGTATGCTTCCTGCTGCCTAAACATCTCTATTCAGAACAGCCTCAAAATCCAAACCAAACAAACAAACAAAAAAATCATAACTGTATTCACCATGTAAGATGTGAGCTGGTCTTCCTTTCTTCCCCCAATCCCTCCCCATCCCCGACTGCCCCCCCCCCCCCCCCCCCCCCCCCCCCGCCTCCCCCACCTGCTGGAAATTCAACTGAACTCTTCTCATCCAGACCATCAACTTTGGGACAAACGAAGGCGTGTACGCTTTTCAAGTCATTCTCCCGCCTCCTAACAGCCTGACATCTCGGTTTGCGTGTAGGAATTGATATTTGCCTACAGAGGAAATGGATGTTTAGCCACTCTGTGTGTGTGTGTGTGTGTGCGCGCGCGCGCGCGCGCGCGCCCCCATCATCAGAGTGCACGCCGATGGCGGGACCCGTGGGAAAGGTCCTCAGGTACAACAGAAGGAGGGGCACCCACAATCCTCTCACCCCAAGGTAACTGCTCTGCTGTTTTCATACCCAGGCTTTTATCTCCCTCAGCCTTCATTTATGCAGTTGCTTCTGCCAGAACCATTTTTCTTACTTTCTTTTCCTAGCAAAATCCTATGCAGTTTTCAAAATTTGGGCCAAAGATATGGTTCTTCCCGAAACCCTCCCTGAGTCTCGAGAGGAAGAAGTGCCTTCTCCCTGGCGCAGCGGAGTCTGCAGCCCAGATCTCGGTCACAGGGGGGCTACTCGCTTCCTATCAGCTTCCCCGCCCCACCCCCCCACCCCAGCTGCGATCTCCTTGTGAGCAATGGTCATGTGACCACAGCACCTCGGCCCCTCGCAGCCGCCTCAGCGAGCCCTGGTTGGGTTCCCTTTGCCTCTAAATCTCTCCTCCCACTCCACTTCCTTGCCTTCTTCATTCCCACTCGCCCTCAGAGCGCCACTGTGCAGTCACCTCGAGGAATGCTCAGCACCCCCTACATCGGGTCTCCCTGTGCACGTTCTTACAGCACTGCGGCGAGCCCGTATCCCGGCCTGTGGCTACACGCTGACCAGATGAAGTCCTGGCCCACTCCGCTAAGTTCCAAGGGGCAGGAGCTGCTCTGTTCACCACTGAATTCCCAGAGCCTAGTGCAGTGCCTGGCGCACAGTAAGTCCTCGGTGGCACGTACTGAATGAAAGAACGAATAAAGTGCACCCATCACTTTCCCACTGTTAATGAATTGAACCCATTTTACCTTGGGGCAAGGTGGTCACGTGCTGCGAAGAGCTAAGCCACCTTTTGCCTGTCGGGCTGGAAGCTGCCACATTTACTTCGTATTCGGTGCCTGGTTTCAAATCTCCGATCACCTCCTCCTGTCAGGGGCCACAGAGGGGAGGTGTCAGTGGGCAAACCAGGCAATTTCCACGAGGGTCGCCTCCTGAGGCCCCTGTGACATCGCATGGGACAGAGGTTGTTTTGCCTTCTCTAAGATGGGCCAAGTTTTCAGGTTTGCAGAAAGGAAAACAACAGGATATATTCCCCAAAGCTAGAGAATTACCCTCTACTGAAATCTCTACAGTAAGTGTCTGAGGGCGGGGGGGGCGTGTGGTGTGGAGACACTGGACGAGGGAGTGACTCCTGCCCCAGGCGGGATGGAGGGAAGTGGCGTGAGATTTCATCCTGCTACTCAGACGGTGTGCAATTTAAAACTCACATAGTTTATTTTTGGAATTTTCCATTGAGTATTTTCAGATCTCAATCGACTGTGGGGAAGGAAACTGTGGAGGGTGAAACCTCGGACAAGGGAGGGCTGCGGTGGTCTCGCGTGGGTGAGCTCGCCTCATACTCCCTTAGCCTCCAGCACCCACCTTCACGTGACACCCCCCAAATCTGCATCTCCGGCTCGGCCCTGCCTCTTGACGTCCAGCCGTGGGTCTGTGACTACCTCTTGAACCTCTCTACCCAACAGCTACCCAGCAACTCAAATGCCACATAAAAAACTCAAACTAATCCTTCTTCCACCTCCCTCCCACCAAAAACAGAACAAAACGCTGCCTCACCCTCTGTCCTCTCTCATTATCCAAACCGGAAATTCTTGACACCTTCCCCTCTGTTCACCCGTGCTCCCTCACCGCAGCGAGAGGTCACCCCTACAGTGACCAGCACTCTTTTTCATTTGACTTGCATCTCTCTTCTTTTTAAATTTTTTTTATTTTTATTTTTGAAAGGGAAAGAGAGTTTTTTAAAACTGTCGTGCACGTACAGTTGTCTCCATTTTCCCGCCACCACTCTCCTCCGCCCCCCCCGCCCCCACCTCCCACCCTCAATGCTCCCCCGCTCTGGCTTCATCCGTGGGTCCTTCATACCGGATCCTTTCCCTCAAATCTCTTTTTGTCACTTCATCCTCACAGACACATTCAGCCCCAGCCCCGGCAACTTGGACAATGGGCTCGGACTCTCCCTGCCGCCATTCTCGCCTGGGCCCCCAGCGGGGACTGCACACTGCTGGAGCCATCTTCCCGAACCCCAGATCCGACCATGCCACTTCCCACCTCAAAGCCCCTCGGAAGAGCACATTGGTGTCCCCTCTTTTATCCTTCCGTCCTCATCTCAGGCCACCTCCCTTCCTTGCATTCCGTATTCCAGTCAGGCTTACGAGCTTGGCAGGGCTCAAATTTATGTCATTCAATCCTTGTCTCTGGGCCTTTGAACCTGCTGCTCCTGCTACACAAAATGCCCTTCTCCCCGGCCTCGCCGGGCTCACCCCTGCTCATCCTTCATGACTCAGTTCGGCTGAGACATTACCTCATGTCTTTGACCCCCAGCCTCCAGTCTGGTTCTGGTTAGGCCCCTGTCCGCTTTGCTTCCTGGCGTCCTTGGTATACCTCCAAGGTATATACTCCAGGACACCTCAATCTCAACACCGCTCGCCTTATATTGTAATTGTCAGTTTATTTGCCACCTTCTCTCCGCTCCGCTGAGGGCAGGAAGCAAGTGCTTTCTCCTCTGGCACCCCCAAGCTTAGCCCAGTATTATCAGCCATGGAGCAAAGACCCAAGCAATGTTTTTGAATGAACAAATGCATTCACTAGTGAATGAACAAAGAAAAGAATTTCAACCGAGATGCCCAGCATAAGGGGATGACCTCATGAAGAAGTATTTCTTACTCCCGGCCCCTCCACTTTGATTAACAGCATCGGTGGCTTGGCTCCAAGCCCTGGAGTCAGTGAGTAACTGCAGAGAGAGAGGGCTGGCTCCCTCCTGCCCAGCCCCCTCCAGCCGCCAGCACAGGCCTCTCAGACCGGCTGCCCTCTTCCTCCGAATCCTGGCCTGGGCCACCTCTGCAGCCACCTGGACAGCGTCTGTCTCCAGTGCCCCACCCCCACCCCCACTCTGTCCCACATGCAGCTGCACGAGGGCTCTTCGCCGAACATATGGACCTGCTTCCACAGCCTCTCCTGCTCTAATTCCCCGCATCTGGGCACCCTGCTTCCACCATCTGTCCCTTGGTTTCATGTCAAGTTGGGTTCAGAGACTGCATGGAGCAGGTGGACGCCAGACTAGGTTCTCACTTGTCTCCCAACTGCACGCCCAGGCTTTTCCCACGGAAGCAGAGATACAGTTTCGAACCCACCTGATGTTCTCACAGGCTTTCGCTTTAGGATCTTTTCCCCTGTGAATTCGTTATGTTGTATGAAGTGTGGGGGTAACGCTGTGGTCTCCCAGGTTATTGTGGATATTAGCGGCGGGCCAGGACCTAACACAACTACTGTTGGTTACCAGGTGCCGATTCTCTGTTCCAGGACACGTTTAGCCTGGCTGAGTTCTCCCTTCAGTCCGGCGAGGTAGGTCTCACTCTCATTTTCACTTACAGGAGATAAAAGGGAATCCCTGAAAAGGGAACGATTTGCCCGAGGACACATACTTATGAAGCGAGGAGGTGTTTCACGCCTGCTTTGTTTGGCTTCAAGGCCCGAGTTCTAATTCCACAATATGTGGACCAAAACTCCTAGATAATATTTAAGTCTACAAAACAGACTTATCATAAGCTCCGAAGACCAGGTGATTGCAATTTTATCTCTAAACACAGAAGTTTATTTACCAGAAATTTAAAAGTCATCCCTGCAAATCAGAACTGAAATATCAGACCCTGATTTTAGACGTGTACCTGCTCCCATGCTGCATCTTCTCCCACTGCTGGACACCCAGCCATGTGTGTCCAAAAGCGATGCTACGTGCCTCCTGTCCACCAGCCAGACACGTGGCTGCTACGCTGGGAGGACGTCAGCTCACGAGGCTGAGCAGAGGCACGAAGTGAGGGCCCTGGAAGAGGGGCCGGAAGACCCGGGCTCTGAGCCAGACAGCTGGGCCACTCCGCTTCTCTAAGCAAAAGTTCCAACACTGAAATCCTACAATCCTTCTTAAATAACATATGCTGGTAGCTAGTAACCTTGGATTCAACTTCACGGTTGACTGTACAAGTCAGGGCTGGGTCTCCGCAGCCTTAATGCAAGTTGGGAATATCTAGCATCATTAGATGGAAGGCACCAGAGACGTAGAAAAGTACTCTCTTCCAAACGTGCTTCTTCCAAGGGTCCAGAGAGAGACTGTGCAGGCCAGAGTGGAGGGAAGGGCTGGAGGGACTTCCGTTTACTGGGTGGTCACAGAAAGTTAGAGAGTGCCTCCTAGGGTTTCACAGGAGGGGCGGCATTGGCTTTGAGCCAGGACAAATCTTTCTCGTATGGGTCTGTCCTGTTTAGGGCAAGAAAGTCAGCCTCCCTGAAACTGGTCTAATCAAATGCCCAGACATATCTCCAGAGGCCCTACAGGGGACAAAGGAACCCTGAGTTGGTGACCATTACTCATCAAGCCTTTCATTTTACAGTCAAAGGGACGTTCAGAGGGACTCAGTGACCTTGCCCAAGATGACCCTTGCTCTGGGGACAGGGCTGGGACTAGGTGCAAGTCTCATGATTCCTGGCTAAGTTTTCTCTCTCTGACCTTGGATAAGATCCAGACAGAACCACTGGTCTGGATGAACGAGAACAGGGGAGTCCAGAGCAGGGTGGCGGTGTGTCCCCCTGGGTGAGGAAGGCAATCTACTGAGAAGAAAACACAAGAACTGTCTATTTCTATTCATTCTCCTCCTCTAAAATTCTGTGGGATTCGTAGGGTATATAATACATTAGTAGAGTAGCACATGTACAATTAATAAATACATGAATATATACATACTGGTACACATTCAAATATTTATTAACTGATGGTGTGCATGACCAAAAAGTGTGGAGACCACCACTTTGAACATTCTTTTCTATCTCTAACTCTAAGAAATTACCAGCTTGCCCTGATTTGTTTTACTATCTATTTTTCCAGGATGGAATTGTAGGTTGCTCTTCTAAGAAAAAGTGTCCAATGCTAACTGAATCAGAAGTCTCTCTACAGGCAGGTATCAGAGAATGCATCAGGATTCTCCATGATCAGCCAGGTGATTTATTTGCCAACCCAATCTTTTGTTTGGCTTTCAATCCAAAAAGTCAACACCCCACTTTTAGGTGACCTGGTCCTGTCTTACCAAGGAGGTCTGGAATGATTAGACTAAGTAAGGAAGAGTGAGGGCGGGGGGAAGAATACCCCACAGGGGTGCTCACTGGTTTAAATGTTTTCTTTCCTTTTCAATCTTTTCCACATAGTTTGGGAACAGAGCTTAAATGACTTCAACCTTCAAAAATGGTCCACTTAACCTTACTCTGCCATGTGAGATGAAGCAGCACATACAAAGGTGGCTTCTTCCCGCCCTGACCGGGTGGCTCAGTTGGTTGGATCATCATCTCGGAAACCAAAATGTCGCAGGTTTGACCCCTGGTCAGGGCACATAGCTAGGTTTCAGGTTCGATACCTTGTCGGGGCACAAATGGGAGGCAAATGATTGTCATTTCTCTCTCACATTGATGTCTATCTGTCTGGCTGTCTCTAAACATCATTAAACATAGCCTAAGGTGAGGATTTTTTTTTAAAGTGGCTTCTTCCCTAATGATTAACAATTCACCTGGGATGCCGTGTCTTAATCCATGTGAGGGAGATGTGGGAAAAACAACATTTTAATCAAAAGAGACCCCCTGAATCCTGAGTTGGGGCAATGGTTTAACTTTCCGAAAGTTTCCGGAAGCATACTTACAAAAATCACTTGATGACCAGGCTGGCCCTGCAAAGGAGAAAACAAACCGGCATGAAGAGGAAAGGGAGACGTCTGTGAGTGAGATGCGCCCACCGACGAGCTGGCCCCCACCACGCCCGGCCCAGCCCAGGGCGGCCCACCCTCCCTTCAGAACAGGGGCTCTGGGGACCCCTCACGTGGTTCTCCCTCCGCGCAGGCAGGCTGCTGAGGGCCCTGGGACCGTGACCTCGTCTAACGCTCACTATGTCCGTATGCTACAGGATGACATGATACGGGGCAGAGGCTCCCACGATGCCGCTGTTCATGTCACCTTTAGAGTCTCAGTAGTATTTTTACAGCACCTCTAATCCAAAGGAAATGCCTACCAGTTCCATTGTTCGGTAGTCATACCCAAATGGCTTGGTCATACTAGCTCATGCTAGTATGTGGCTGTTCCACATACTAGCTGTTCCCTTTGTTCCCTTTGGAAACCCAAGTCCAAACATTCCACAGCGCCCCGGGGCTGGGCTGCAGAGCGCTGGAGCGCCCTGGCACGCGGTGTGGAATTGGAGACCCACTCTCTGTCCGAAGATACTATTCGACTCCCTGTTGCGTCGATGCGGGAACTGAGACCAGTAAGGTTACCCAGCTGGCTGGCTGCCATACGGGAATCCTAGTGTGAGCCGTCCGAATCCAGAGCCCACCCTGCCCCCTCTCCCTGACCCGCCGCCTTTACTGGTCATTATGTCCTCCTTCCAGGCTTCGGGTTCTGCACACCCCTACCCCCACCCAAGCAGGCAGCATGGGCGTGAACCCACATACGCACACCCATTCCTTTTGATCAGAATGGCCCTTCCTCTTTTGCCTTTCCAGAAACAGCCTTGCTTCAATTCTCAGCCCCAAATTTTACCTCTTAATCACTTGCTCCTACACGAATCTCTGGCTCTTCAAAACCTCAGTCTGCCTGTTCAGCGGCATATTAATGACATCTGGTCTCATGTTGCTCTCTCACTGCTCAGTCAGTGTGACTGTGGTTTTCCCAACAAGCTTTAAAGCTGCCCAAGGACAGGGGCTCTGGTTTTCTTGTGCCAACAGCAGCAACCATGTAAGTTACGTGAAACCTGCAAGCTGGGCACATGCTGTAACTTGACAGCATCCTCTAATGCCCGGCTGCAATCAACAGAGAGAATACAGTTGCCACGAAGGCAATGACCATCAGGAATGATGACGGACATCTGTAGAGCTGCTTTCAGGGTTTAAAAAGGCTTCTACATGCACAACTTAGCTGGCACTCACCACACTCTAATTATTATACCCCTTCCACGGGAGGAAGGCGAGGTTTGGACAGGCTAAGGGACTTTGGACAGAGTGGTCCGACCTGTAAGTATAGGAAGGAGGTCCAGAACCCCGGTGCCTGTCCCCAGCAACCCTCCCGCTGTTCCGTGTTTGCACTGCGATGGCCATTCCAGTGAGGCCACGTGACCCGAAGCGCGTGTTCAAAGGGCCCGGATGTCCAGCCCAGGCTCACATGATGGGAAGGGTCTCAATTTCAGAGGCACCGTCCTGGCTCCAGGACACCTGTCACCAGCCCTGCGCCCTCCCTGCCTAGACCGCACTAGCCACACTCCCCGCAGGACAGGAGGCCAGCAGCTGGGGACACTGCTAAGGCAGTGCCGGCCCCCAATGGGCCCACCAGCTTGTTGCATGTTCTGGTGCTGCCCAGGGGAGACTGGCCCTCAACAAATGGTTTCCTCGGTGAGGCCGACCCAACGTCCCCTGTTGGGGCAGAGTAAGTCACAGAGCTTGGGGGCAAGCGCTTCTTCTGAGGCAAACGAAAGAAAGTCTGATTTGGGGACAGTCATGTCAGCTCTTTGAGTCTCAACATCCTTGCCGGTCAGTAAAATGAGGTCATAGGATAGTCGCGAAGACGACACAGAAGAGCAAACAGAAAGCATGAGGGATGGAGCCTGGCAGGTAGCAGACGCCCAGGAAGTGATAGCCACTTAGCCCAAGGACAGCTAGGTGTCCGTGTGCAGTGCCCCGAAGGCGCACAGGCACGGCAGCTCCCAGCGTGGCCGCGGCGCTGCCCTCACGGCGCTCGGCTGGGCACTAACGCCAGCTCCTTGCAGAGCGAGGGGCAAGGCTCTTGTCTGTGGGGCAGCTGTGGGCGGGGAAGGAGGAGGAGAGGGAGAGAAAACAGAACGTGCCTAAGGCAGGAAAGTGCACCCAGAGAGACCCTGTCAGGAAGCAGAAAAGAAGTAGACGAAGAAAAGCCAACAGCAAGCGGTCAGTGGAAGGACAGGGTGCCCGGCTCCGGCACAAAAAGAAGCAACATGGGCCCTTTGACTGCACACTTCAGATTACATCATTTTCTTCTGCGTTGCGTTCCGGAGCGTGGGGAGGATACAAATGTGTCATGTTTGTGGATAAAGCTTTATTGAGATTTCAAAAAAAATTGGGCTTGAACTTTTTGAGGAAAGAAGGGGGACACAGCTGTGAGGTGGCTTTTTCTCGCATGGTAACTGGGGCGGCTTGAGTCCAGGATGCACGCGTCGGCGCCGGGACCTTCTTCCTGCGGCTGCAGACGTGCGTGGACGTGAAAGGCATCCACACGCTCCCAAGGACCACACGACACGCGTTGTTATCATTGTATATGCAGCGGCACACACCCCCCCCAAAGGAGGAACTCTCCCGAATGTCGAGGAAAGGCCGGCCCTGGGAGGGGAGGGGGTGCTTGGGACGCAGGTACTCACAGGGGTGGCCGCGTCCTGGCTGGGCTGCAGGCCCCGGCGCCGCTCTTGCGGGGGCTCATCCGCGCCGACCGCTCTGTAGGAGACCTGGGGAGCCGCAGACAGCGAGCAGGGTGAGCGTGGGGCCTTCTGCACCGCATCAGCCGCGCTCCCGGTGCAGGGCACTGCCCGGCTCCCAGGTGCCCCACCTCGCTGCCTGGCAGCAAACGCCAGGCACCCCTGGCCAGGCCACTCGCTCACTAGCCGGCGGGGCCAGGCCAGGGGCTCCTGTCGGTGGCGTGGGCTGCAGAGAGCTGGGCCCAGCTTCTGTTATTTTTCTGAAAACCGCGACTCACGAGTAATCTTTTGTTTTCCCTAGTTTGATACAACGTGAATCGGGACACACATGTCTCTCCTCTGAGAGGACAGCCGGGCAAGAGCATCGATAGATGGCTACCCTCCCGTGGGAGAAGGACGACAGGTGGGGCGGGGGCCCGGAATGTTCCCGGGGTGGGGCGAGGGCTTCCATCCCATCTGGAGGGGGCAGGCGGCTCCTGCCTGCGAGGTTACCCCAGGCAAGGGGGGGCCCAGGGCAGCCCGCGCTCCCAACACCCCCAGAGACCTGAAAACTCCAAATACTTATTTGAAATCATTGGCTCCTAAAAGTCCTGAAAAGACTCATTTTCAAAAACACTGTTCAAAGAGAATGTTTTGGTGAACTGCAGGCAGTGCCCTGTGTGACCTCCGACAGGCAGGAACGCATTCTCTCCCCTCACCCCCACCTTGCTAGTCCTCCCCTTTCCTTTCCTTCAGATTTTACTCTCTTTTGTACGTACGGACAGCATCCCACAGGGCCTATCCTGTGTTCCTGCTTTAGCCTAAATTTGACTGCAGGCAGCAGGGCCCAGGAACCGTGTCTTCTCTGGACAGAGGAGGGATGGGCAGACCCTACCTGACTTTCAGGGCGCTTACAAAGGCCCGGGGAACGGAAGCATTTCCTCTGGTTTCAGGAGGGAGAGCGGGCAGGGCTCAACACGGCCTGGCTCCCAGGGGCGCGCGCAGCAGCCCCGCCCGGCCCTGCACAACCCCCGGGCCCAGGCACTCACTGTGTACCCCGCGGCGGGGTGCCGAGGATGCCTGGGCGTCTTCCACTGGACGCTGAAAGCCGTGCAGTTCAACGGGTCCAGCATGACATGCAGGGCAGGCCCCACCTTGCCTGTTTTGTTTTTGCCAAAACAAAAGAGGTCGCGTTAGAAGGACCACGCATCCCACCATGGGCAACTCGCATAGGACATGAGAGCGCGGTGTGCAAGTGGAGAGCCAGCAGGGCAGCTGGCCATCCCTCCGGTGTGCCCTCTTCCGAGCTCTGCCGTTCCCGCGGCCCACCCCCCCCCCCAGCCTGGCAGTGCTGGGGAGCCCCGCCCAGCTGTGGCCCTCGGTCCCTTCTGTAACTCAGGGGCCAGTAGAGGGACACTCGGTACGACAGGTCAAACACTTCTGACTTGACTTTAGGAGCTTGGAATGTATTAAAGCAGGATGATGATTTTTTTTTTAAACTCAGTAACATATGCTGTGTTATATATATGTCTTTCTGTAGCCAGTATATTCCCATTGAATAATGTTTCAAAATACGGTTAAGTGTAAAATTGGGGTTAGAAAATTTCAAATGTTTTACAGTACACTTATCTGAAATAATTTTATACTTACACACAATAAATTTTATGTTCATAAGAACAATATATCCAAATTGCCAAAATTTAGAAAATACAAAAATAATAATAATTTCACCATTCGGAAATGAGTCTTGTCAATATTTCAGTAGAGTAGACCTCCTTTTAGTCACATGGAATTTTTAAAATACTTATATATGCACATACATTATTTTTATTCTATTATTTGTTGTGTTTATTACATATACTAAGTATATAATATATAATACATATTTACAATTTTAAACCCTGGATTCCCTGGGACAGTTCTGAGTCTAAGCTACGTCTCACAGCTCCGTCTCCTTGGCTTCTTCACCACAGTGGGAATCAGAGGGTCTTCGCCGGGGGCCTCATAGGGTGTGAAGGCCAAGAGAATGGCCCAGGCCAGGCCTTACAATGTCTAGGGCCCTGGCTTCATGCCTTCATGAAGATTCTACACTAGAGCTGGCGGGGAAGCCCAGTGCTCCAAGGCTGCTGCCCTCGCACAGACTTCCCATACGTCCCACGTACTAATTGGAAGGTTTTTTCTCTTTTTTCAAACTAACTAACATTTATATGATGTTACAATTATGATGATGATGATGATTTTCAGATCATTTTAGAAGAAATAAAACTGGGGACATATTTGCAAACCATATATCTGATTATAGCTCAATGCCCAAAATGTAAAAGAAATGCATACAACTCAAACGCAAAATGCAAATGATCCCATTTAAAAATGGGCAAAGAATCTGAATAGGCATTTTTCCAAAGAAGACATACAAATAGCAAACAGGCACCTTAAAAGGTGCTCAACATCACTGATCATGAGGGAAACGTAAATCAAAACCACAATGAGATATTACCCGGCACCTGCCAGAATGGCAATTATCAAAAAGGCCAGAGATAAATAAAGCGGACAAGGAGGTAGAGAAGAGAGAACCCTTGTGTACCAACATAAGATCCTATCAAAGGGACTAAAGGCGGAGACAGCGAGAATCAAGGTAGAGACGATCGTCCTCTTGCCACTTGTTAATGCTGGTGTTCTTGGTGGTCCTGCCAACCCCCTCTTCTCAGCTCCAACTGTGCCCTCCTCCAGGGCGCTCTCTCTCCTGCCAGTCACGACCGCATGTGTGGCGGTGGCTCCCCAGCTTATTTCTCCAGCCCAAACGTCTCTTTCAGAGGTGCAGGTCCATGTACCCAACTGCCAAGTGCGCCTGGATGTCACCGGGCCTCTCAGACTCAACACGTCAGAATCCTCTTCAACCCCATGCCTGGGCACTGCCACCGGAGTTCGGAGCCGAGTCACGCAGCGGAAGCCGCCTGACCGTGGCCAGAACGTCCCCGCTGGTTTCTCTAACCTTTCTGCGTCCTAAGGGATACAGTTCCTTCTCACAGCTTCTACAGCCTGCTCCCCTCTTCTCCCCTAGTAAGTGTGTGTTAGTAAACTAAATGGATTTTTTTTTTTCGGCAAAGCAGCTGAATGCAGCATGAAGGTGGCTGGGGCCGTAGGACTGGTGGCTTTAAAACTTGTGAGTAGAATTTATCCAAAGAAACCCAAAACACTAATTTGAAAGAACATATGCAACCCCTATATCTAATGTAGTGTTATTTACAATAGCCAAGATCTGGAGGCAGCCCAAGTGTCCCTCAGTAGATAAGTGAATAAAAAAGCTGTGGTACATTTACACAATGGAATACCATGCAGCAGAAAGAAGGAGCTCCTACCCTTCGCGACAGCACGGATGGAACTGGAGAGCGTTATGCTGAGTGAAATAAGTCAGGGGGTGAAAGACAAATATCATACAATTCCACTTATATGTGGAATCTAATGAACAAAATGAACAAGCAAAACAGAGACAGACTCCTAGATAGAGAGCAGATGACAGCTGTCAGCGGTCAGGGGATAGTTGGAGGGCTGAGTGGAGGGGTGGAGGGACTGAGCAAAAAATTAAAAAAGGGAAAAAATTCATGGGCACAGACAACAGTGTGATGAGCGCTGGTGGGAGACGGAATGGGGGGATGAGGAAGAGGGTCAAGGGGGGATAAACAGGGTGGTGACACAGAACAGTGCACAGAGGATGTGTGGTGGAATTGTGCACCTGAAACCTATATAATTTTGTTAACCAGTGTCACCCAAGTAAATTCAATAAAAAGGAGAAAACATCCTTGTGAGCAGCAGGGGTGTATGAACGGCCCTCTGGTTGGAAGGAAGCCCCGGAGGCCGGGCCTGGAGGCACGCCTGTGTTGAGAGCACAGCATCTGTCTCCTAGCACGTTTGCGTGGCACGTCCTTGAGGGCAGGGCAGGCCACCGGCTGGGGCCTCCGAAGCTGTATTTGCAGAGCAAGCACACTGTTTACACACAGAGGGCCCAGCTATCGGTGTCTGTACGGAGCAGGGTAGATGAACGGCAGCAGCCAGCCACCCCCCATTCCCCACTCCCCTGCCCCTCCCCCGAGATAGAATCCAGGCAGGAAAGGGCAGAGGACCAGAAAGGCCTCTGGGAAAAACCAGAGAAGTCTTGACAACGTGGCCTGATATCAACTCAGGAGACAAGGACAGAACTGTAAGGGGTCCTAACTGGGCTGAGCCAATCGAAGTATTTCCCTAAATCTTTTCCAGCTACCCAAGCGAAAGATAAGAGTGGAACTAACTTTTCTCATATCTCTACAATCTCTGAGTCACCAGGAGAAAGTCTAACCTTTGGACAAGTCAAGCCCTAGCTGCATTTTCCCAAAACTCCGAATGAAGCAAAAAATCTTGATAACGGGTATAACACAGAGGTCTTCTGTGATTTTATCTATTGTAATATAAAAATATACCAATGGTTCCTCAAGGTTAAAAAAAAAAGTAGGCCGCTTACATGCAGACTGAACAAGATGGAGGCAGTTAAATGCAAAAACAACGCTCATATTTAACCAATGATGGTTACAATGACAGAGACGTATATTACGCAACAGAAGACTAGTTTTGAAGAATTGTGGCCTTTAAAACTAACATAATGCATTTATATAATACATCCTGAAGCTGTGTTCTTGTAAGCTAAAAGCTATACTTCTTAGGAGATAAATAAATAAAAAGAGGGTTGTTTGTTTTTTTTTTTGCCATGAGGGAGATGTATTCCTGGGCTTTCTTCTTTGGAGGGCTTTCAAAATTGTATTAGGTTTTTGTACCAGAAACTCCTGAATAATTAGGTCAATTTCTTATGATAATTTTGTTTTAAAAAATACTTCAACTTCCTGAGCAAAATTCATCTCTGATTCAATTAGTTTTGTGATCCAATTCATAAAAACACTTCAAAATGCAAATAAAAAATCGTCTGTAGCAGAAATACATTGCTAGCTTTTTAGTTATTTGATTTTCACGGAATGAACCAAGTTATATTCACTGATGCACTGCAAAGTGCCCAGGCTAACTAAAAAATAATCAGAAAATTCTGAATAGGGGGAAAAACACTTATTTCCATCTTTTTGGAGCTTGTTCCAACTGTCAGTACTAACGCAGCCCTATGAATATGTGACTATTCCATACAAATATGCAGCGAGGGCCAATTCCACAGTGATGCCTTCAAGGCAGCAGTAAAAATGGGAGTTGAAGACACGGACCAGTGTTTGTTCTAGTCACCCAGTATTCAAGAAATTCCCAGACGCTGCAGAGCAGCATGAAGTGATTTCCAGAGCCCTGCCAGCTTCACTTTAGGGGGCATGGGGTCGCATTCACATCGTAAGCGTGCTTCCCTTTGAAACCCACACTCCAGAGTAGAATCTCAGAATGTAATGCCCCACTCCAGAGTATAGTTGCAGAATGTAACCCCACAGTTCAGGCCGACCGCTCCCCATGGCTGGAGTGTGGCCTCCCAGGCCAAGAGGACAGGCCTGCTGAGAGTACAGAACCCTCCACCCCATACCACCTACTGACCCCTCCCTGAGCACCCGAGACCCCAGATTCCCTGCCCAGAGATTCCTAAGCCTGCTTCCTGGGTCTACCTTTCAGAGGGCAACTATGCTGCTGGAGCATGCACCCTCGGGGAGCGGTGGCCAGTGGGCTGCTGGTGGTCAGGATGGTGGCGGACAGAGCTCGCCGGTCGAGGTGCCCACGTTCACCCACAGGAGGCCCTTCAGGGAAGCACAGAGCAAGGGGTGTCCCAGACCAGGGCTCGGGGGCCCGTTCTCTTCACATTGCCTCTCTTTGAAGTGGAAATACAAGGAGTCCAAGAAAACCAAATTTGAACGTAGTCTTCCAGGTCATTGTGAAAGTATATTGGTCAGGGCAGAAGGAGAGAAAATATCGCACCTAGTTGTTTGCTAGCTTACTGAGTCAACTGTGAGTTTTTACACAAGTGATTCTGTGGGTGTCCCTGCGAACTCGCTACCTGCCCCTGCCTGAGCCCCACGGTGAATCTCACCCTTCCGGGTGACCCCTCTCATCCCCACGGCTCCCCCAGGCACCTGCTGAACGTGCCTTTCCAAACGAGCTCCCTGTGGGCATCTAACTGGTCTGCTCAGCCTTGATGGTTCACACACCCCC